AAAAAAATACCTGTACTAGGAGAGTTATTCAACTAGAACCCTAGGATAGAGTTTGTCAACTCTATGTAAGAATCATCGTCATGATTTCTTACTTCCCCTTTTGAGTGTTACAATTTAGATTAGGGAGTTTTGTCAAACTCCACACAAACATTGTCATGTTTGTTCCCCTTTAAACCTTGATCATAATCAAGTGTTCTTCATCCCTTGTGAGGTGAACTACGATTGCTCTGATTCTATCCTAGTTAGGATACGTAGGCAGAAGATGCGATGTCTTTGCGAGCAAACTTAGAAAACCATCTAGGTCTTTACCTATCCCTAATCCATGTCCCAATCCATAGTACATATTCACATATTTAGCAAGAAATCAAATAAAAGGTTCCTGTAGAGTACTACAGATGCTTAGGGTGCTAACACCTTCCCTAGGTATAACCAACCCCCGATCCCCGAATCTCTTAAGCATTGTCGTTACATCGCGAAAAAGGTTTTTCTTTCTTTAGACCTTTCCTTTGGATAAAATAAAGTTCGGTTGTAAAAGAATTAAGATTCAAGTTAATTTAAACAGCTTGACATCCAATTTTCACCGCAACAATTACCTACTCCCCCTCTTGGCTTTTGTGAAAGTCAACCTTGAGTGTACAACCTAGAATAGAGAGTTTTGTTAAAATCTATACAAGCATTATTATGTTTGTTCCCCTTTCAACCTTTATCGTAATCAAGTGTTCTTCATCCCTAGTGAGGTGAATTATGGTTGCTCTGATTCTATCCTAGTTAGGATACGTATGCAAAGGATGTGATATCTTTGCGAGTAAACTTAGAAACTATCCCTAGGTCTTTACCTACAACTTAACCTTATACCCAATCCCAAACCCTAGAAATGTTTTAGCAAGAATATCATACAAACATACAAAAGGTTCTTGTAGAGTACTACAGATGTTTAGGATGTGAAATACCTACCCTAGGCATAACCAACCCCCGATCTCCGAATCTTTAGCGTTGTTGTTACATCGCGCAAAAGGTCTTTCTTTCTTTAACCTTTCCTTTGGATAAATTAAAGTCCGGTTGTGAATTTTAAGAATTAAGATTCAAGTTAATCAATAACTTGGTATCAGGATTCTCAACGCAAATCTGATGGTCTTCGTTATTATTGCATGTTTGTTATTACCGTTGTAACAACTAGCATCAAGATTTACGCTTGTACCCTTCATTGTTCAAACATTAAGCTATATAAAGAAGTCTCTACCTCATTTCTAGATGAAGAATAACGATCAATATTGCATATGAAATACTCTCAGTCTAGATATCCTATAAAAACACAAAGAGTTGTTGCTCATATTTGTGTAATACTTTGTTCTTAAATTTTTGTTTCATCTGTTTTATAGAAGCAAATTTGTTAACACTTTCTTTGTATCTTTGTTGATATCATTTTCCTCAAGTGACTAAGTGTTAGTTTGTATACTTGAGAGGGCTACGATATTTTTCTAACCACTTAGACGAACTTGTTGTAATCTTTATAGATTATTGGATTAAGTCCTTTTTGAAGGCGAAATCACCTTGGCGGGTGGACTGGAGTAACTTTGTTAATAGTGAACCAGGATAAAAAAATGCGTGTCTCCCTTTTCATTCTCTCTTGTTAACCTTTGTTCTTTAAAATTTTACGTTTGATAAAAACCTAATTCTCACCGCAAATCTAATTCAAACCTAATTCTGATGTATGGACTTCTCCCATTTTATCCATTGATGGTCTTCGTTATTATTGCATGTTTGTTTATTATTTTGCTCGTTATATTTGGCTTTATCTAATGAAATGCAAATCTGATGTAAAAATTATATTCCCCAAATTGAAATCACTCGTTGAAAATTTTTATCACCACAAAATAAAAACCTTTTACACCGATAATGGTGGCAAATATATTAGCGTTCATCAAATTTTAAGAATTCATGTTATAAGTCATCACACTACTCCACCTCATACACTTGAACACAATGGAATTCAGAATATCGAAATCGACACATCGCCGAAATCAGTCTCTCTCATCGTCACCACTCGGGATTGCCTCTCACCTATTGGCATCACACCATGACCACTGCAACCTATCTCATAGATTGCTTTCCAACTCCAATTCTTCGGTACCCATCACACTATTCCAAATTGCTCAACATTATCCTGAATTATCATAAGTTAAAGTGTTTTAGATGTTTGTGTTTTCCTTGGATTAAACCATATGCTAACTGACAGCTTCGAAAGTGAACGGAAATATTGTAGTAATATAAAAGAATGTCGAACCCACAGAGAACAATTATCAAATGTATCATTATCTATCGTTTTTATGTAAATCTTAGGCTATCGATAACAATTGAGGGTACAAAATAGATAAAATGAACTAGTTTACATAAACCAATCAAAGATGGATACTAGAATGCAACTCACACTGATCAACGGTATTTGCTAAGTCGTATTAATTATTAATTAAATTGGGATAATATTTTATCTTACGAGAAATAATTAATTTAAAGGAATCGTTCGCTTTCACGCAACCAGAACCCATCTAGCATAAACACATCTAGTGTCAGCCACCTCTTTACAGCCTTAGTTGGTCCAGATCCCAAATAGGTGACCATCATTTCCAGGACATCCTCTCAATTGAGGTTCATGTGGCCCAGTAAGTTTCCTAAGATGGAAAGATGCCAGAAGCACAAGACATCATCCAGAGTGATGGTCATCTCGCCAATAGGAAGGTGGAAATATGACGTCTCTGAATGTCACCTTGCTACAAATGTCGCCTGCACGCCATGGTTTATGGTCATGTACACAACAACACATAAGCTGACAATACCAGAATATAAGATGGCACTCATGAACCAATCATCGTCTGGCAGTTCCAAATCCAATATCATCCTGTTGTGGTTTAACGATTTTAAACACAGACGCTCCTCTAAAAAATATATATCCCCATCAACTGCAGTTTAATTAGTTTAAAACATTTGTAATACAAAATTAAAAATATATACCTCACCCTCCCAAACAAGCATAACAACATGATCTGCATAAAGATGAAGTAAGGAGGTATCAAATGGTCCTCCTGGATAAATCTTTAAAGGGGCATCAATAGTGGGTTCCTCTTGGGCTTCAAGGGCTCACATGCTACTTTATCATTTAAAGACTTGTGGCCCCCTGAAGTAGAGGTCTTAGATGGGCGACTACGAGAAGTTGAACTAGATGGTTGGGAACCTCGACGTTGTGAATCGTAGAACAAGTTATCATCAACTTGTGGCCTCGCTTTCCTGGCAGTGACCCTCACGTCGTACATACGTTGTTTGGGACACATGACAGAAATACAACTGATGGCTTAACCCTCCAAACAAATGTCATTGCATATCTATTTAGGCTACCTATTTCAATTTCACTACTATTTAATGTAGTTAAAACAACTTATGTTATCTAAAACTCTAAAGGTAGAAGCTTTGAACTAGAAAGAAAGAAAGAATTTTGAAAAACTTACCAAATCAAATGGATGAGAAAGAGAAGCTTGAATGGATGAGAAACTTGAATGGAAGAGAAATTGCTCCAAAGATAAAAGCTTGAATGTATGCAAGAGCTCAAATGGTATTTTTTTAATATGCTTTAGAAAAGGAAGGAAGAAGATGGAAGGGAAGGGTTTAGCGGGAGTAAATTAAATAAAAGCGTTCAGAGATGCATCTTTGGACAACTCCTTGATTATTAATTAAATTTTAAATTAAGGGTTTTTATGGAGATGCATCTCCGGATTGAGCTTTTACGCATATGAAGATGTATCTCCGGATTAAATTTTGACAAAAAAATAGGATGCCTCATCAATTTGTGCTAAGTAGTCTCTGAAAAAGATACGTCTAAAAATGCATCTATGGATGCTATGGACAATTAAGACTTTTCACGATGATGAGAAAGTACGCTTAAAGATGGAAAAAGTAACTTCCTAATGTTTATGACAATGACATGATTTATTAAGTTTGAGTATAAACCTCCGATTGGGCAAATGACACGATATATTAAGTTCGAGTATAAACCTCAAATTGCGCCATAAACTTTGTGCTTGTTTGAGGTAGGTTCATACTTTTAAAAGCTCAGTGTATTTAGAAAAGAGTATAATAATTAAGAATATTTATTATTTAAAGTCACATCATTTATATCAGAGAAAACTTAGATACAATTCATTAGATATAGTTTTTACTAATTTTCAATGAACATATATATGACAAATAAACTTAAATATTATTTAGAGAGTGAAAATAAGAAGATATATTTATTAAACAATAATAAAAATCTCACTTAAAAAACTATATACAAGTCTTTTCCTTTTATATATGATACTTAAAATTATGAAGTTTTATTTAATATTTTTTATAAATATAATAGGCTAACTACATCATGCGGCCCTTTAAGTTGGATGTTGGCATGCAAAAATAAGTTAATCCTTTTAGTTGTTCTAGTCACATATTAATCATTTTAATTTGGAAAAAATGTACGTCGTTAATGTTTTAAACATCTTTCGTTAAAATTTTTTTGAAGTGCATCTTATACACTAAGTTTTAGTTTTTCTAGAAATGCATTATGATGTAATAAAATTTTATGATTCATTAATTAAGAAGGGTTCCTATTTTATTTAACTAACTATTGGAGATTTATAATGAATTCAAAATTAATAAAATTAACATAGCCTAACCTTGAATGCCAATTGCCTGTAAATGAAAAATCAAACACTAATAAAAAAAATCTTTACCCATTAATAAGCAATAAAAATGTAAGATTCATTAAGATTTAATAAATTTGAGAAAATAAATAAAATCTAATGAAAAAATTAACCGACATGAGAGAAGATTAACTAGCCGTTAAACTTAATTAGCTATAAATATAACTAGTTGTTTAACACTTTCAGCTTCACCCTTTCTTTCAATTTTAGAGCCAAACTTTCTTGCTTTCTTGTTGCGCACGGTTTCCTTTGACTACCTCATATCATTCATTCATGGCTACCTCATCCCATTCATTTTCATATTCTTTATCATCATCGCGTGTTTCCTCTTCTGATGCCTATGTTTGTCCCCATCTCGCACTTGCTTTTGGTTCTTGTTCATGTTCTACACAAGTCAACAATAAAAGAAAACTTGGACACCAAGAAACGTTGGATGTGTATTCTTATCCTAATGTTTGTCTTCATTTATCTCTAAGTTTTTGTAGTTGTCTCCATGAGACACAAATTGTCAAGAAACAAAAACGTGTCCAACAAGAAACCAACAATTCAGCAACGAACAACACATGCGATGCTGTTGCTGTTGGAACAAATATGGATTGTTCAACCAATGTTGGTGATCCATGGATGATCAAGAAGGTGTTGACAAAAAGTGATCTTGATGATAATTGTAGACTTTTGTTAAATAGAGATTTGGCTAAGAAATGTGTGGTTCCTATGGTGGATAAAGCTAAAGCTGAGAATGATGGAGTCAAGGTTGAAGTGTTTGATGTTGACACTAGATTTCCTCTATCTCTTACTTTCAAGATACGACCTTCCAATGATAGTCATGTCTTCAACAACACATGGATCACAGATTTTGTAGACAGAAGAAACTTGAAGAAAGGAGATGTAATTGGTCTCAAATGGAATAACGACAAGAAAATATTTGATTTTTCTGTTCTTCATCGGTCTTGATGATAATTAGTACTACTTTATAATTCTTTAATTCTTAGAGACTTTTGATTACTTGTAAAATGGAGGATTTATGTATTGATGTTTTGATTATTTACAATGACAGTGCTTACATTTTATTTTATGATAAATTGGTATGTTTCCTTTTCTCTGCTTTGCTAATTTCTGTCTTATTTTACGTCATGTCTTAAAAGTTGAGAGAGTAAAAAGAAAAGTGTCATAGTGAATGGAATGGAATGTTTTTCTCTCTACATTGAGTAACAAGTTAGTATACATAATCAGAACATTACAAATTACAAATTTCCTCGCCTAAATATAACTGATCAATAATAGAATGTGCAAGGTAATGACAAAAGAAAATAACTACAGCAACTGCTATTTTCCTCTTATTTTGATATCTTTGAAATATTAACATATTTGTATAGTTTGTGTCAGATTTGTGTGTTTCAAAGTAAAGTTAAGTTGTCATTCAACTATAACATATTTCAAATTTAAGTTATGTTGCATCACAATATTTCATTGCAAGCACCCATTGACACTGATTTCATATTTGTATACAACCATATACATAATAAGGAATAGATTGTAGATTCTCATAGGCTTCAAGCATGTTAGAGAGGAATAGATTGCAGCCTCAGATCTAATAGAGATTTGAGGCTTTCTATTTTACCATGAGAGACGAAATTTTGTGCCAAGGAATTCAACAAGATTTCCATGCTAGAGAGGGACGTCGAAGTCGTATCTGAAATAGAGGTGTTGTGTGGTGTCACGGTCTTGGTAAGTTGATGCAGCTGATGAATCATCTAGTGAAGACCGTTTAAGTTAACTGAGCCAGTTGTACTTGGATCGTTGGTGACCTTGCATGTTCTATCATTCTTTTTCCCTTTAATCATTCTAGTTTATGTCTTATAATGTTTTTCCATTTATGATAGCCCCTTATGTGTTCCATCATTCTCTTTTGCATGCAAATTAAATTTCAAATATAGTTTTGCAATCAAACTTGACAACATACAAATTGTCATTTGTGTCAGAAATAATTCAAACTCTATAGGTGTAGGCAGTTGTGCAATGGTTATATGTCGTGTGTCCTATATTATGTGTGTAAGATATGTGTTGGCTGTATTTTTTCTAAAACAGGATGTTACAGCTATGTGTTGTGCAAAATGTCTTGACATATGAGTCAAACATCTTAGCAAATTGGTTTTTTAGGTGTTGCAAAGTTTCAGTTCATGATGTTAAGACTGATGTCCTTACATGTTACTACAGAACTAAACAACATTCAATTTAAAATGTTGTGATTTATTTGTTGCGTATTATGAGAAATTCTTTGTGCTTTTTTGTTTAGTGATTGCAGGCGAAAATCATGGTGGAGTTTCTTTTTGAAATAAAATTGTTCGGCAGTATATTCAGTAGAGCTAAATATGGAATAGTTTATTGCTATTTTCGTGGCTATAATTGTGAGAAGTATTGAAGAGTGATTTGGTTTATTTAAATTAAATCTGATTTGTTTTTTTACTAATTCCCAAGCCCATGGCGATTGGTCTATATATAAAGACTTGTCAATCCTAATTGAAGACTAGAGAAGCTAGGGTTTGTGCGTACTATTGCTTAAACTTTTAGTGTTTTAGTATTCTGTGTGTTTTGTGAGTCGTTCATTCATCACCTAGATGCTTGAACTGGACTGAGTGTATTGAGTTGTAAGTGTTCACTCTAAGCTTTTAAGTAAGAGGGTATTGTCCTTAATTGAAGTTTTTAAGCAAGATCAAGTGTGTCTTCTTTTAATTTATTGTTAAATCTTATCATTGATGTTGTGATTGAGGGAAGTGAGAGCGGTCTCATATCTAGGAGAGTCCCAGGTAGAAATTGCACGAGTAGAGATTAGGTGAGAAGATTGTAAACCTGAGCTTGTTTGTTGAGAATCTTCAAACTAATTCTGCTTAGTGGATTTCCTTCCTGACTTGGTAGCCCCCAGACGTAGGTGTCGTTGCACTGAAATGGGTTAACAATTACTTGTATAATTTACTTCTTTCTTATTATCTGTTTACCTTGTTCTTTATTTCATATCAGTTCAGATATTAGTGTCGTGACATTGCCTTCGACATCTCATATCTGATACCAGAATTTCAATGTGTAATATATATATATATATATATATATATATATATGTATATATATATATATATATACTAGTTCTAGTAAAATTGAATCTCAGCTTGTGAGTAACATATTTCATTCCTTCTTTACGCACTTTTATTTTACTTCATTCTACATAGTCATAGTTTATGTGTGCTAATACACAATGATGCAAAGCGGCACAACATTCACAACAAATCTCTATGTTCTCATCGGAAAGAATTGGGATCGACGAAGAGTGCAGATGAAGGCTATAATAGGGTACCAAGAAGTCACTAAATTTGTAGGATATGGCTAACTAGCACTCCCAATAAATCCCACAGACGCGCAGAAGGCGCTTTACAAAGAGAATAAAAAGAAGGATTGTAAAGCGACATTCTTAATTCATCAGTGTGTTGATGAATCACAATTTGAGAAGATTGCAGGAGCTACAGTTTTGCGGGAAGCATGGGAAATCTTGGTGAAGTGCAACGATGGTGCGGAGAAACTGAAGGTGCGATTATAGACAATGAGGCGTCAATATGAATAGATGCAGATGGAAGACAATGAAAAGATAGAGGATTTATTCAATTGAATTATCACTCGTAGAAATGCTATGAAGAATATTGGTGAGACACTTAAAGACAAAACGATTATTAAAAAGATTCTACGAACCCTAACACACAAATTTGATCATAGCGTAGTGGACATAGAAGAATCTAAGAAGATTGAAGAAATGAAGGTCGAAGAACTACAAGGTTCTCTCGAAGCACTCAAGAAAAGAAATAGTGACAGAAGTACAGAGAAAGTCAATGATAATCAAGCTCTGCAAGCATACATACCATGAAAAGGTGGATTCAACCCTAAAACAGGATCTAGAGGTAGGGGTTGTGAAAACGATTTCAGAAGCATGTATGGGAGAAATTATGAGAACCAAGAACAAGAAAAGAGTGATCAAGATCACTTAGGAGGCTTAAATCGAAGAGGAGAAGGAACAAACTGGCGAGGAGGAAAGAAGAAATTCGATAGAAAAAGACTAAAATGTTTCAGATTCAATCGCATTGAACATTTCTCATCAGAATGTACAACTTCATCAAATCAGAAAGAATATCAAGCTCACATGGACAAAGAAGAAGATGCAATATGTGATAAAGATCAACTTCTAATGCTGATGATGATCACTAATCCAGATTTACATAATAAAGAAGTGCAGTACATAAACTTAGGGTGCTCTAACTATATGACTGGGCATCGAAATTGGATTGTCAATTTTTACTCCGAAAAAAAAAGCATAGTGAAATTTGCAGATAAGAGCTCATGGAGAAAGGTTTTGCAGCTACCAAGGACAAATATTTTCTGAAGATTCATGACAAAGATGGAGTAGTGATAATGAAAGCACCACTGGCCAAGAAAAAAACCTTAAAGGTAAGTCTAAAAACCATTGAATCACAGTATTTTTCTGCTAAAATGTTGAAAGATGATTCATGACTATGGCACCTTAGGTTAGGGCAAATTTTAGGGACATGAAACAACTATGGTCTAAAGGGATGGTAACAGGGTTTCCCTTAGTTGAATACCCCAATAAATTATGTGACAAATGCCTAATTAGAAAGCAATCTAGAAATTCCTTCAGTAACCACACCACCTCTAAAGCTAGTGAACTGCTAAGTGTGGTATACTCTGATGTTTGTTTCCCACTTGATACACCATCACTAGGAGGGAATATGTATTTTGTAGCTTTTGTTGATGACTTGAGCAGGAAGATATGGATTTATCTAATCAAGGCCAATAGTAATGTGTACAAGATATTCAGAGAGTTCAAAGCTTTATTGGAAAAACAATTTGGCAAGCATATTAAAACCCTCAAGACAAATGGTGGTGGTGAATTTACATCAAAAGAATTTGAAGAATTCTGAAGCAAGGCATAGAGCATGAAGGAACTGCACCTTTCACACCCCAACATAATGGTACTATAGAAAGAAGAAACATGACCATTATGAACATGGTTAGAAGTATGATCAAAGAAAAGAATCTTCCTCACAACTTTTGGGGTGAGGTAGCCATGACAGTAGTTAATGTTTAAATAGATGCCTAACCAAGAGACTTGGATCTATGGTTCCAGAAGAAGCCTGGTCATCAAGCAAACCCTCAGTCAACCATTTTAAGATCTTTGGGTCTATATGCTACAGGCATGTACCTGAACAAAGGAGAAGAAAACTGGAGGATAAGAGTGAGAAGATGATTTTTGTGGGATACAACTCAATTGGCTCATGCAAATTTTACAATCCAGAAAATCAACAAGTTATATTCAGAAGTGATGTTCAATTTGATGAAGCAAGCTTGTGGGAAGACTTCCAAGAAAAAGACGAGACAACCTCTACCACCCAATTTTAAAGGGAAGACAATAACTCTAGAAGAGAGACATAGTGTGAAACTGTAGACAATGATGCCCCAAGAGTTAAAGGCATATCTAGAAGAACTAGACAGGCTTCATCAAGACTCAGTGACTATCAAATTTATTCCGATGACAACATCTCACTAGAGGGCGATATTATGTAGCATATAACACTCATGGCAGACATGTAACCTATCTCATTTGAACAAGTTGTCACAAAGAAAGCATGAAGGCTAGCAATGTAAGAAGAACTGAAGAGCATTGAAAATACTGATACTTGGGAGATGGTAGATCTACCCCAAAATAAGAGACCAATTGTTGTCATTTGGGTGTTTAAGACCAAACTCAAACCTGCTGGATCCAAAGCAAAGCACCAAGCCGTACTTGTGGCAAATGGATTCATGCATCAGAAAGGTTTGGATTATGATGAGGTGTTTGCTCCAGTAGAAAGGATGGAAACTGTGAGATTGATTATTTCAATAGCCAGCTGGAAGAA